GACAGCCACGTGCCTGGAATGGTATAGGGTGTCCTGCTTGAGCAGGGGGTTAGACTAGAAGACCTCCAAGGTCCCTTTTCAACTCTGTTATTTCAGAATAAAGAATTCCAAGAATTTGGAAGACCAGTTTCAAAGACTTCTGCCCGCAGAAGGAAAAAATAAAAAGCCTGAATCTATTCCCCAAAGTGTTTGTGGTTGGGTATGGATTTGAAATAAATATTTCCTAGCTCTCAGAGTTACTAATTCTTTAAGATTATAGCCAGAGTAATAACACCAGTAAAGGCTTCAATTGAGACCCAGCAAACCATCCCTGTCCTATACGTATGGATCGTATTATAGGCTTTTACTGAAATTCTATGGGATAACCTAAATTTACAATCTTGTAATATTTTCAAATGAGATCAGCTAACATCTCAGAAGTGATATTGTTAAAATATAAAATTAGGAAATCTTATGATATGTAAATCATTATTTTTAATACAATCACCCTACTGAGCATATTCACTTGATGACACTTGCTACCTGAAAAGATAGCTGTCCTTAGATACAATTAAATCAGCAAATGAATAACTTTGTTTATATTAAAGCTAAAGCGATTTTTCTTTTGTTGTTTCCAATCATTGGGCCCCTTCATTGTTTTCATGTGGGCTTAACTTTCACAGATCAGTGTCTGCTCCCACTATCATTTAAGAACTATGTTTTCTGAAGATTAGTTTTAAAAAATCATTTAAGACTTGGCTCATAAAACTTCTAAAATACGACCAGCGGTATGAAAGAATGAGCACTGATTTTTTTGACGTTTGATGGTATATGTCAGATGTTTGGATCATTTAGGTAGTTACCACAATAAGAGAAAAACCATGGTATAATTGCTTGTGAAACCATTTTCACAGGATAAAAGCATACAACAGGCTGTCATATATACTTGCAAATGCTCACCCATTTTCTCCATTGGCTATAATAGGAAAGATTTTACTGACCCACTTATTTATCTGCATAGCACCAATGTTATTTATGTCAGAGACAAAAAGCACATATGAGTCAGGATAAGCCAGGTTTCCCTTTCTGTTTATCTATATTTTAAGTGAGTTTCTTTGCAGCTGTATATTATGGAAGCAATACTAGAACCTCAGTTCACAATGCCACAGCCATTGTTTTGGAAGTATTGACATCCAGGTTTCTTCTCCGAAATAACTGAATCTGCATCTCTTTGGTTTATCCTTTCTCCTTTTTATAATAGATGAGCTCTCCCTCCCAGGCACAGCCCTATATCAGGATCTTCAGCTGTGATTGATCACACATGGCAGAATCATTATGTATAATCTAACAGGATTTTTTAAAAAAAATTAGATGAACAAAATATAAAGAATCCCAACCGGAATTAGAGTTGAGCTGGATTTTAAAAAATATAGTCCTGCATAATTTTCTCAAACAACAGTTTTTATATCTACTATCGTGTTGCATTGGGTTCACTTTAATTGAAAGAAAAGGTTTAAGAACTGACAAGAATGGACAGGATACTTATTTGCAGGATGTTAGGGGAAAGAAGAGTAAAGCCAGGGATAGAGTTTTATTCCTTCATAATATGTTTTAGTTGTAACTAGAGATGAAAGAGGACAAAATTTCTCTTGGGAGCAAAAGTTATCACTTAGTCTCTCTATTCCAGTTGTCTCTTTTGCAACTATTCTCAAAATATGCCAGTTAGCATACCACGTGAGATACCGTTCATATACTTCCTTGTATCAGATGTCTCAGATGTAATCTAAACTTCCAACAACCTGCTTATTTGATGTCTCTTGAATTTCTATACTGAAAATAGTAATAAAGCTTGAAAGACGGGCAGTCTTATACATTTGAAAACACAGGGTAACAAACTTTAGAAAAATACTGAAGCTGCATATGTCTGTGAATCAGTTTAATAACATTTTCGTTTTGTAACAACAGCTAGATAGACACTGAGAATAAAGAAGGTTTTATTTAATGATGCTGTTTTCAGAATAAAATAGCACTCTAGCTCAAAACCTATCACAGAAGTAATTTGAAAAATAGCACTTTGTTTGGCTTCCATAGCCCTCTCATGCCAAAAGCAACAAGCAACACTACTCAAAACTCCCAAAGAGTTGGAGTATTGCCAGATGAATATACAAGGCTGGTATATACACCATGCCCCTTTCTAACCAGCTTCCCAGTTCAAGAGACCCATGCTGGCATGAGGTATGTCCTGCTGACACAAAGTATGAAGGAGCCAAGCTGAATAGCTTTAAAATCTACAATCTTACAGCTACTTTATGAGCTTGTTTGGTACTGAGCTATAATCATGTTTGCTTATTCCTAACCCTCAAGAAGTATTAAATTTATTCCTGAACAAAACGGGGGTCTGAAACTATTCCCCCCACTCATTGCCAATGGCCCAGACTCGTGAGAGTTTCAGGAACCAAAGGGCCTTTCTCTTAGATGCAACATTGATTTCTGTATGCTCACAATTTACCAGACTGTTCCATAGTAGGCTTGATTTGATGGCTCTCCATGGGGTTCCCTGCAGCCTTGATTATTTCACAGCCTAGCTGGCTACCATGGTTTGTGGCAAATGTACATTTGCAACGTTTTCCAAGCAACAATATTAAACTTTTATATATACAACATAGCCAGCAAAATTAATAAAGGTATTACTTTAATGGCATATTATTTGATCTTTCCCATGATATTCAATACTTTTCTGTTCTTATATAATTTATAATTATCTAAGCTTCTTCTACTGATAGGTATTGGGTCAATACTTCAGACTGGTATTGGACTGAAACATGAATGGGTAGAAATTATATTTATCAATATGCAATAAATTGCTTGAGATTTCTTGGACAATAGTGAACTTAAAGGAGAATTTGCAAAATTTAGACTCAACCCCAATTAATAGGTGATTAAGGTAGCTGCTCTTTTGTCTGTAGGTGTTCCATATCACTTCTTCTAGGCCTTTTCTCTGCTTCAAAGGGATGGGCAAGTAACATTAAAATTTTAAGTTCTGATAAAGTATAATCACAAGAGTCACTTGACAGCACTGGAAGTTATTTTTCCTGATTCATATGCTATTTTGGGAATTGAGATCAGCTATTAAATATGATTTTAAAAATATAAGACCCCTGATAAAGTAACTATATTTTGGACTATAATTGGGTCAAGAAATTAATAAGCATATGGCTGTTTAAATAATTTCAAAAATATAAAATTGATTATTATTAACATTCAATAAATTACCATGCTGTGAAAGTGTAGGGTTTTTAATATACATGGCTCACTTTTATATTCATTAATATATATATATAATCAGGAAAAGAAAATAGTAGTATCTGTTAAACAGAACAAAAAAACCTATTTAATTACATGCCGTTTTAGGTAAAAATATAAGAATGGTAAATGTCATAAAAGGGATGAACAATTTACCATAAAACTACGAAGTTGCAGTGTAAATAACTTCGGTGGACAATCTGGTCCTTTCTGCAATACAGGGAGTAGACATGAGCAGTCAACTCAAACACAAAGGAAGTGCTGTAGCTGGCAAGAAGGAAAGTGCCTTCTCTTTCAGCTTAATACTAACACTAAACAAGGATCTCCTTTCACGACTCAAACTACAAAATTAAGATGAGCTTGGTGTACTCTGCCTTTCCAGGGTAGGGAAATGAATTCTGTTTTTATTTCAAATTCCTTGTTCTTTTTCTTTGTGTGAGCTTGATAACACTCCTCACTTTTTCCCCCAGTGGAAACAAATGGCTTCTGTCACAATTGTACTTTTTCTTTGTTTTTCTCCAGTCACCTTTGTTTTCCATTATAAACACAGTGAACTCACTATAAATATATAATAAGATACATCCATAAGCACAAGGTAATTTAACTACATCACAACAACTAAGTTCAGGTCCAGCATTCAAACTTATAAGTGAGCAAAAGTAAGCCATGATCATCAGGGTTAACTGCGTCCTTCAAAAATTCTTTACCTAGGCTCTGTATTTTATCTGTGTGCATGTTTTGTTCTTATGTTTGCAATTCATAAAGATATTCTGCTACATAAATTTAAAAAGTCAAAAATTGTGCCACCTTGATAAACATATCTACCCTGAAAAATAGGCAAGAAATAATTGTATTAAATATTAAGACAAAATATCTCAATACAAAACTTGTAATGTACAAGGAATTAAGAAAATGCAATTAAATTATAATCTACACTTAAATTCCAACCTCACAATATAATGAGTTTTGGTTTTAAAAACAAAAACAAATGTTAAATTAAAGAGTTATATTTTAAGATTAGAAGCATTATGATAGGGTAAAACTATTCCTAGATTACAAAGATAAAAAAGACATATTCTGATAAAAATTAAAATATCACAAATTATATAATAAACAAGTAAGTCAATTACTTATTAGAAGGCTTCACTATATTCAGGTTGCTAGAGAAAGACTTTGGAGGGACTGAAAGAATAGATTTTGGTACCTAGATTTAAATGGGTTTCATTTTGCTCTGCTGTTCTTCTTTCTCTATAGAGAGTATCTTTCAGCAATATAAAAACAATACTTTGCCCTTTGCAGACACTTATATCAGTGACTTGTTAAAATATCTAAGTCAGTATTAAAAGTACAATTTCATTTGTATATTAAATATGTACATACATGAAGTGTGCCCCCAAAATTCTACCTTCTAAGCTTTCTCAGTAAAATAACATTAGATTTTAAGAAAAATATTAATCAAATGTTCTATAATTGCTACTGTATATATCAGAAAAGAGTGTACCGAACTCTTTGTTTGACCTAGGAAAAAAAATCTGAATCTCTCAACATTTCACACTGCATGGCATGCATCTGAAGAAAGCCAAGTAAAAATGCCTTCAAAAAAAAAGTAAAAATGTGTAGATTATTTTGTCTCTTGTTAAACAATTCAAGGTTTTTATACTTTCTAAACAGAAATATCACGTCAAGAACAGTGAAGGGAAAAAGGGAAATATGCTTACCTGACTGGACTATCAGTGGGAAAGCTGAAGAATTGCAAAACAAAGTAGTCCAAATGATTTGTGTATGCACACAAGAGTCCAACTCTGTACTTTCAAGTAGGCCAGACAATCAAACAATCATTTCAGCATCAGCCAGCCTGCTTTCCATCTTAAGGGATTCACCAGAAAAGTGAGGGATCTGCTTCACCATAAACAGCAAAAAATCCTTGCAATGCTTCCAAATGCCCACCATTTGTTCACCATTCAACCGGTCAACTTTTTTCAAAATGCACCTCTTCTGTTAGTGCATTTCCAAGGTATGAGATGGGAATTGCTTCTTATCGGTGTACTAATTATTTTGCCACAAAGACAAAGGTCAAAATCTTTTCAGACAGGAACAATGGACCTGAAGTTGGAAGCAAGAAATAAAAGCAAGTTGACGCTACCAAACGATGGGGAAAGAGGTGCCCGAGTGCAGAATTCTGCTTGCTACATCAGCAGAAGCCTCCATTTGAAAGCAGCAGCAGCAGCAAGGCAGGCAGTGGGCTACAGAAGAGCCTGGCTGGGCAGTATATGCACACAGCACAGGTTCCCTTAGAGACCACATTACTGCAGCAGAATAACATCAGTAGCATAGTGCCGATTTTCCCTGTCTCATTCAAGATTCCTTCATAGTGTGTTCATTTCTTTCCTAAATCGTAGAAGAACAACTTCATTACCTTTGACTTAAGATTCCTTCCTCCCCCCCTCCCCCTTTTATAGATTATAACAATGATTTTGAGATCTTCTGTTTACCAGCCTTGCAGTAGTCAGGCAAGATTGAAGATCACACTATGCGCTCTCTACATTGTACCCAAAGGCCCCTAAATCTCTGGAGGGGCAGGATGTGTATCATGTGCAATGCTGTATTTAATGTAATAGATGGGAACCATAAAATACCACTCAGGCTATTACCAGCAATCCAGTAGATGATGTTTTCTTTTAAACTGAAGTCTCTTATGATTGGTGACATGGAAAAGCCTGTTCTCACTAAATAAATAAATATATATATATATATATACATATACATATACATATACATATACATATACATATACATATAC